TGTCCCCCTGTTCCTGCATCCCTGTGTCCCCATGTCCCTGTGTCCCCGTGTCCCTTGTCTCCACATCCCCCTGTCCCCATGTCCCCATGTCTCTTGTCCCCATATCCCCGTGCCCCGTGTCCTCGTGTCGCTCTGTTCCTGCATCCCCGTGTCCCCATGTCCCTCATGTCCCTGTGTCCCCATGTCCCTGTGTCCCATGTCCCCATGTCCCCACATCCCTGTGTCCCTGCATCCTCGTGTCCCCATATCCCCATTTCCCCGTGTCCCCATGTCCCCCCGTCCCTGTGTCCCCCATCCTCGTGTCCCCATATCCCCGTGTCCCCGCATCCCCCGTCGCCGTGTCCCCGCGCCGCCGCGCCCGGTGACGCCGCCCGCTCTGCCGCCAGGCGCTGCCCTACGTGTGCCTGCTCATCGCCATGCTCTTCTTCATCTACGCCATCATCGGCATGCAGGTGGGTCCCGTCCCCGTGTCCCCCCGCGTCCCCGTGTCCCCCGCGCCGCCCCAGCCCGGCCCCGACCTGTCCCCAGGTGTTCGGCAACATCGGCATCGAGGACGAGGACGACGAGTCGGCCATCACGCAGCACAACAACTTCCGCACCTTCTTCCAGGCGCTCATGCTGCTCTTCCGGTGCGGGGACACTGGGGACACGGGGACACGGGGACACCGGGGACACCGGCTGCACTGTGGCTCGGGGGGGACATCGGGGACACGGGGACACCGGGGACATCGGCTGCACTGTGGCTCGGGGGGGACACTGGGGACACGGGGACACTGGGGACACCGGCTGCACTGTGGCTCGGGGGGGCACCGGGAACACCGGAGACGTGGGGACACGGGGACACCGGGGACACCGGCTGCACTGTGGCTCATGGGAGGCACCGGGGACACCGGAGACGTGGGGACACGGGGACACCGGGGACACCAGCTGCACTGTGGCTCATGGGGGACTCCGGGGACATCGGAGACGTGGGGACACCGCGGACAGGGGGACACCAGGGACACAGGGATATTGGCCACACTGCAGCCCACAGGGGACACCAGGACACGGGGACACCGGGGACACAGGGACACTGGGGACACTGTGGCTCATGGGGGGCACCGGGGACACCGGAGATGTGGGGACACTGGGGACAGGGGGACACCAGGACACGGGGACACCGGGGCCACGGGGACACTGGGGACACCAGGGACGTGGGGACACCGGGGGCACGGGGACACCAGCTGCACTGTGGCCCACAGGGGACACAGGGCACTGGCCGCACTATGGGCCATGGGGGACGGGGGTGACACGGGTGACGTGGGGACACCGGCCGCACTGCTGGCCACAGGGGACACAGGGGACACGGGGACACCGGCTGCACCACGGGTGCTCTGGGTGCAATGGGTCCTGAGTGCAGTGGGTGCAATGGGGGTGCTCTGGGTGCTCTGTGCTGGGTGCTATGGGGTTTATGGGTGCTATAGATGCTGTGTGCTGGATGCTGCAAGTTTTATGGATGCTATAGGTGCTTCATGTTCCATGGGTGCTTCATGTTCCATGGGTGCTTCATGCTCTATGGGTGCTGCAAATGCTATGGGTGCTGTGGATGCTATGGGTGCTCTGTGCCAGATGCTATGGGCGCTCTGTGCTGGATGCTGTGGGGTTTATGGGTGCTATGGGTACTCTGTGCTGGGTGCTATAGGTTTCATGGGTGCCATAGGTACTCCACGTTCCATGGGTGCTGCAAATGCTATGGGTGCGATGGGGACTGGGTCCTAGGGGTGCTCTAGGTGCTGTGGATGCTACGGGCACTTTGTGCTGGGTGCTCTGGATGTTCTGGGTGCCCTGTGGGTGGGTGCCCCGGGTGCCATGGACGCCATGGGTGGGTGTCCTGGGTCTATGGGTGGGTGCCATGGGTGCCATGGGTGCCGCTGCCCCCAGGAGCGCCACCGGCGAGGCCTGGCACGAGATCATGCTGTCCTGCCTCAGCGGGAAGCCCTGCGACGAGAACTCGGGCATCAAGGAGCGCGAGTGCGGCAACGAGTTCGCCTACTTCTACTTCGTCTCCTTCATCTTCCTCTGCTCCTTCCTGGTGCGGCCCTCGCGCCCCGGGGCAGCGGGACGAGGAGGAGGAGGAAGGGGAGGAAGATGAGGATAGGGATAAGGGGGAGGAGAATGGGAATGGGAGCAAGGTGGGGAGAAGGGGGAGGAGAAGGATGGGAAGGAGGATGAGGATGATGAGGATGGAGATGAGGAGGAGGAGGAGGATGGGGATAAGGGTGATGAGGAGGAGGATGGCACAGGGATGAGGATGGGGATGGGGATGGGGAGGAGGATGATGAGGATGGAGATGAGGAGGAGGGGGAGGACAGCATAGGGATGAGGATGGGGAGGAGGAGGATGAAGATGGAGATGAGGAGGAGGAGGAGGGCACAAGGATGAGGATGATGAGGATGGAGATAAGGGTGATGATGAGGAGGAGGAGGGCACAGGGATGAGGATGAGGATGATGAGGACGGAGATAAGGGTGATGATGATGATGAGGAGGGCACAGGGATGAGGATGAGGATGGGAATGGGAAGGAGGGCACAGGGATGAGGATGCGGATGGGGATGGGGAGGAGGACGAAGGGGCCATGGCGGGCGCTGCCTTCCTCCCCGGCAGATGCTGAACCTCTTCGTCGCCGTCATCATGGACAACTTCGAGTACCTGACGCGCGACTCGTCCATCCTGGGCCCCCACCACCTGGACGAGTACGTGCGCGTGTGGGCCGAGTACGACCCCGCCGCCTGGTAAGCACCCAGGGGTGCCACGGGACCGGGGGGGGGGGGTGCCCGGACGCCTGGGCCCTCGGAGCGCCCAGCCTGGGCTGCCGCTCGGGGAGGAGTGGCAGGCGCTGGTGGCGCCGCAATGGGGACGTCCCTGTCCCCAACACCCTGTGGTGTCACCCGGGGACGTCCTCGTGTCCCCTGTGCCCTGTGGTGTCACCTGGGGACGTCCCTGCGTCCCCCCACCCTGCAATGTCACCTGGGGGGGGTCGCCCCCCCCCCCCCGCGGTGTCACCTGGGGACATCCCTGTGTCCCAGTGTCACCTGGGGACGTCCTCGTGTCCCCCCACCCTGTGGTGTCACCTGGGGACATCCCTGTGTCCCAGTGTCACCTGGGGACGTCCCAGTGCCCCCCTACCCTGTGGTGTCACCTGGGGACATCC